AATCCCAATGTGTACACCAGAGGCAAACACATATTTTCTAGTGAATAGCGATTCTGAATCAACTGAATACGATGTGTAGCGATAAGGTACCAGCTTGACCAGACTTGCTTTGTTTGCTTCGGTGAATATAGTTAGTAAGAGTATGCTATAGTATCAAAGTATCACTATTAATACATAAGATTGCATTGTCCAGAGGATTTCTCACACATATAAACTAAGGGTGTCGCAAAGCACTGCAATGAAAAGTATAACATTAATTGCAATGTATCTTCATTTATCGCCATCGTTTACGTCTATCACCGGCAGCTTTTCTCTTTATTGCCGGGAGCGGCGGCTCCGTGGGCGGGCTGCTCCTCGGCTCCCTGACCAATTCTATCTTCGTGGACTTTGACCGCGTCGCCCCCGAGGACCGACCGTCCTTCCTGCAGACCGACCCCCGGTATATCGGTGCCTGGTGGCTGGGCTTCGTCATCATCGGCTGCGCGGTCCTGCTGATCAGCGTTCCCTTCTTCTTCTTTCCCCGGCACCTGCCTAAGACAAAAGAGAGGATAAGGGAGGAAGAGCAACTGCAAGGAAGCGAAGGTAAGCTATGAATATTCACGGGGGCGTGGCTCACTTGCCTGAGCAGGGACACATTCACCACGCTCATTCACACACACGGTTAGTCGTATATATAATCTGTGTTGGCATGGTTGGCAATAAGCATGGTTGACAATTAGACTTATTTCTGGCTCTTTCTTAATTTCGTTATTGGACTTGAATAATTAAACAAGTAATGAATATTAAGTTGCCAAATGCAATATAATGATATAGTAAGTTAACCTTAAAACACACCTCTATTTAGTATAAACCTATCCCGCTTTCGGTTGTGCTTTGACTTACGGGTCAATTTGCTTTTCTTTCTTGCAATCCAGTAAGTGTCCAGGCGTTAAATTATTATGTTCGATAGACTTCAATATAAACTTTACATGTGGAATGTTTAGTCTAGCTTTTAAAAATGATATCACACCGTGCGGATTATGAAAAGGAGGAAATGCTCTTTGAAACAAACTGATTCAAACTGTCCCTTTGTTTTGTAAAATCCAAAGAAAATATGTACGTTGAAATGTAAACTAAGGTACGATGTGTCTGTTTAAACAGGAGACTTGTTCAAAAACGAAGAGTAGCAAGGATGTTTTTAATTGCCATGTTTGCCTTATAACGTAATATTTGGTTCTTACCGATTAGGAGAACGGGTTTCAGGAAACTAGAGATGACGGTATAGAGCTGGAGTTGAACGAGCTTTCAGCAAGTGAAACTGGAAGCGACGGGGCAAAGGACGATCGTAACAAGGCGCCATTTACGAAAAGACTATCAGTGATTCTGAAGAGTAAGTATGCTTACTGCCCGGCCAACCAATCAAATTCCTTACCCAATCAAGAGGAGGGGCAAGGTGTGCAACCTATGGAACGTTTCGTATGAAGATTCGACACCCAACCTTTTTTTGTTTCACTTTAAGATGTCTTTTACACATTTACTGCATACAAAAGCTTTATGCCGAGTTCCTTAGTTTGTACATGTATATAATTGAACCTATGGTTTTTCTTTAGCCGTGTATGTCACTTGGTGTTAACGCAATGTCACAATGTCCCAAACTAGGTATTCCAATGTCATGTCAGGTTGATCAAGTCACACTTGTGTCCTTTGATGTGACTGTCTACCAGTCAATGTGTCACCTTATTTGTCAAGCAAACACCTCAACGTGCCACCCCGTAGTCACTGACTTCAAGACATGGCACCTTCAGGGGTGTGCGTGACCACTGATAAAAATAGCTAAAAAAAGCTGCAAAAGGTGTAAAAAAGCTGAACTTTGGAAATCTCCTATACTTTTGTATCAAGTATCAAAGCTGAGATTTCACACCCCTGCACCTTGTATTGTTGGCTGCCCGATGTGTTACCTTGTTTTGATTTGTCACTTTGCCATTGTCTTACTGCTTACCTGATGTGACAACTTCCGGATTAGCTACTGACATGTATAACATACCATTTGTGCCTGTTTTGGTTTGGTTTAAAATTAAATTTGTTTAAAAATGGGACAAAATTCTGCAAAACGACTTTTCTTCACCAAAAAATGGCCATCAAGCTCTTTGCTGGACGTTGATCAAATTTAAGTGGGCGTCTAAATATGGAAACCCTCCATCCCCCAAAAAATACGTTGCGGAATTTGTGCTGACTTTTCATAGGGAAATATCCAAATCCAGTTTCGTGCCAAGAATAACCAGGTTACTGCTTTAACGTATTCCCCTTTTCATTATTTGGAGAAATGCTCTATAGCTACAAGACGATGCTCACGAATGTGCCACTGCTCTTGCTGTGCCTTACTACTGCAGCTTCGTCCGCTATAACTTCGGGTTTGGAACGTTTGCGCTGAAATACTTCAGAGTGGAGCTGGGAATTAGCACTTCACTGGCATCACAACTTGCAAGTAAAAACAAATCGATCCGGTACTGTTGTAATAGTTTTGGTTCCTTAGGGTCTGTTGCTTCATTAAACCCGGTAAAACCCAAGACCTAACAGCAGTCGAAGATAATTGTAATATTCCCTTCTTTTTTTAACCCTTGGGGTTAAAACTTACAAAAACTTACCAGGAACAGCTTGCACTAATTAGTAATGATCAAAAGAGAGGGCTATTTCAATTAGTTATGCTACAAACAGACCCATTTTACTTGTTAAGCAAATTTCCCGAAGTTCGTATCAATATTTAATATGTATTTTTTTATTATTATTGTTACTATTTTTTTAATATTAATAGACTTTAGGGCCTACATTATTTCCTGTTGATGATCATAGATTCAGCCCATCCAATTAAACAAAATTAGTGGAGTTATAATTATGCAGTCAGACTTTTAAATGGACATATTTCAAAATGTTTGGTATGTGTTAGTTTGTGTTTTCTCGACTGCAACTCCAGCATATGGTTTGGACTTTACGATTGCATGTTCTCCCAAGTCGGCATTTATACAGCATGTCAACAAAGTGTCCGTCTGACTGTTTTTGAAATAATTATAGTACCTAGAGGTCATTTTTGGATGTGTAGATATTCATAAGCCTTGGCCTCAACCCCCTTGTGAAATGGCGAAGGGGTATACCGGAAAGGAAAGGCGCAGTTGGGTCGAAGGTTACACACAGTGACACATGGACAGCGGTCAAACTGTTGCTGGGCAAGCAACACTAACTGTTAGCGTTATTAGTTCAGATCATGAATACAATACTTAAGTGGATGAGTACAGGTGAAATTACAGCATGAGAGCTTGTGGTACAATCAGGAATATGTACGGTTTGACGGGAATGCATATGTGTACCTTTGTGCCTGTAGTTCTGCAAAACAAAGGAAAATAAACCACTTATTATTTACTAAAGCGTACGAGGTGAGGCGTGCGTGCCATGTATACACAAATGTACTTGATATACCTCGGTAATAGATTGTGATGTTTTATTGGTCGAGAACCAAGCACGTGATGTACACCCTAATTATGTTAGTTAATGTATCATGTTGGGGTACACCCATCACATGAGTGATGTACCCCACAGAGTACATTACCCCACTGTTGAACGTGTTGTTTTACTATTCAGTAACAAGGTAAAATAATTTATGTTTCTGTGCAGCGAAAAAAAAATGCAAATATTCACGGTGCAGTAATCATGGATCTTTCAAAATAGTACTTCCGCTATTACTACACGGCAACTGGAGGAAATCCACAATTTCAGACGCTTGGAATCTATTACCATGGTATAACAAAACAATCGTTGCCTGCCGGGATTGGGGTCGATGGGTTTTGTACACTCTCGGGTGTACAAAACACAATGGACCCCATCACAACAGGCAACAATTGTATGATGTTCAATAACGATAATTTTCGTCAGACTAGGCCTAATACTTTATGCTTAAATCATGCCAATTATGGGTGAAATCAAATGGAGGGTTTTAACGGTTTGCAACAACGAAAATGCGGAAACGGGTCTGAAACACTTTGTCAATGCTCTATAACGTTTTCTGAGCGCATAAAGCAATGAGCGCGGGACTTTCTGCAGTGGCGTAGCCAGGAATTTTTCAGTGTGTGTGTGTGTGGGGGGGGGGGCACGCCCCCCCCCCTCCCCTGCGGCTACACCACTGACTTTCTGTCACCCTATGGGTTCCATTTATTTTAGTCACGCATCACTGCAAAATTGACAATTGATCAACAACAACCAGCTAACAATGCCTTGATCGATTTCAGTGCTGCGTTATGTCAGCTGTGTACAATTCTGCATGTTGTGAACAAAGGCTGAATTGGTTTGGCATTGGAATCATTTGTCATTAATATTAGGTCTCGGCATGCAGGCAAATTATTCCAATCCCAACAGCATCCCGTTTCATAACATGAAGGATTTTACACAGCTTACTTAACATAGTACTGAAATTGACTAAGGCACGGAACTTGGTCACAGTGTCCAAAATGTTGTTGTAATCAATAGATACGTGTGAAGTGATGTGTGACTAAAACTAAATGACACTCATAGGGGTTGAGACCGAGACTAAGGAGCATCTGCACATCCACAAAAATACGAAATTTGCATGGTTTTGTAGTTATTGCAAAAATAGTCGGACTGACACTGTTGGGGTTATACTGTAATGTGTCATATCGTCTTGGTTCTCTTCCCATAGTTGTCGTCGTTGCCTGCATGGCCGCTGGTAACGTGATCGGAGGCTTAATCATCAGGCGCTGGAAGTTGTCACCAGCGCAGTGCACCTTCATTCTGATCTTCGGTGAAGTTGTTGCTATCCTGTGCATGCCCGCCTTTCTCCTCGTAGGGTGTAACACAAAGCCTGTCGCTGGTGTCTCAACGAACTACGCAGCTCCTGCACCCTTCGACGGGCTTCCCGCAATTACCCAGTACGTAAACAACCCCTCCCCCCAAAAAAAACAAATATATACATTAATTAATACAGGATGAGTCAAAAAGCGGAACCCAAACCCCCAAAAAATATATGATAAATGTGTTGCACCAGAAAAAAACAGACTTGAAAGCCAATGTTCAAGGTACTTTTACATAAAAAAAAATGACTTAAATTGGCAATCCGTTCGGAAACCATCACCATTTTAACACAATGTTCCCTTTTTCACTCATCATGTATGATAAAGTAACAGCAATCTTCAATACTACTAGGCCTGGGCGGGTAGTAGATTTAGCTACTCAATTACTTGCAAGGAAACTATTCGCGAGTACTCGCAACGAGATTATCAAATGTCCATAAAAACATACAAAAATGGTATACACTTGACATGAACGGGAATTACTACAGATAAACAGCGTGGAAGACATCTCAACGACCGATATGTTCTTGATTGTGCAAAATGTGTTATTTATTTGAATATCCAGGGACCCCAGGAAGAACAGTTCGTAGATAACTGATGTGGCCATAAATATGGATTTGTTGAAATTGGGGAAGAGTCAATAACACTTCGATTGTTTGGGGCTGATCAGCATCAAAACCCTGAACAGACTGATCAAATATCGCCAGTTCATATTCATTTGTTATGCCAATTGTCTTCATGCAAAACGTGGTTAATTTAGTGGCAGATTACTTGTGTTTGTATTGGTGTTATTTGTATTCTTCGTGTATCTGCCAAAATAACACGGTTGCCAAACATTTAAATAAACGGGTCATCTCATTGAATATCTGGGATGAATAGCGGACACATTTTTTCCACAATATACCTATATGATAAGGGGTTTCAATTAACTGAATAGGTTTACTTTCCAAGAATCTTGTCGCAAATTTAAACGTTTTTATACAATGTCTTTAGAATTATGTAGCTAATACTTGGTACAGCGAGTCGTAAAGAGAGAAACTCGTAAACCCTAACCATAAGCCAAATCCTAACCTAAACCCAATCCTAAAGGTAACCCTGATCGTAAAGCCGGTACAAGTTTCCGATTTTACCGGGGCACCGGATCACCGGGTAATCGTACCGAGGTGTGCGCACAAAACTTCGGACCGACCTGGCTGTACGTCGCGCGACCGGATGAAATTAACTATGTTTGATTGTTTTCCCGTACGATTTCACAGATGTCACCAGAAAGGTGTGCGGGCAGCACTGCGATTTCACCGGACGCGATATTTTTGTTAACCAGTCACATGAATTAAAAGTGACGGCAGCCATTTTATCATCATGTTACTCTTAATCATGTGACTGATCATCATACGACGGATTAAACATGTAGAACGACATCTGGTATGCGTACGGGTAACGTTGTGGTCTATCCACTACGATAAAATCAAAAACCGTACTGGTGATGGGGTGATAAGTTTAACTGGTAAAAACGGAAATGCGTAACACAGGTAACCTGACTTATTTGCCCCTAGGCCGCTTATTTTTCCAGACTCGGTTCAGCAGGCTGTGTCGCCGTGCAACGTCAACTGTACCTGCGGGAACGAGGACTACAGCCCCGTCTGCGGTGCCGACGGCATAAACCTATGTGTCCTCATGTTACGCTGGGTGCGAGGTTGTGGAGAGGGCCAAAGACGACAGAGGAAAATGGATCAATGTAAGTTGTTGAGTGAAAGGTATTCATGCAGGAATCTGACATTTTTGTTTTTTAAGATACGAGGTAGTTCAGAAACTCGTTCGGACGTCTCAGTATCTCAACAAAATGTTTCAACTTGAAATCAATACGTTCTCGCAGAAGCAATATATAATTGAGCTAATGTATTTTAGGTATAGGTACGTCAACAGAAATATTAACGCACGCATGAAGTCTTAAACATCACTACAGACATACACTCACTGTTTTGCCGCTGATACGGTCTCTCCGAATTTCATGAGGAAAAATGCTCATGAATTGTTGTTTTTTACTGTTTTCTCAAAAAGTGTTGTTTCCACTGAGCTGAAATTTCAACAGGGTCATGTTAAAATCGTTCTTCCTTGGATTTTTAGTGATGTTATTATTGGACGCGAACGAAATATACATGAAACGCAAATGATCCTAAGTAAATGCCTTTAAGCATTGACAGCCAGTCACAAATTACAAATTATGGCTGTGACTCTCCTTGGTGACCTCGATGACCTACACTCGTTTAATATTAGTCTCTTTCATTTATCAAATTGCATTCTTATTTTGCAGAGTTTTAGCGAGTGTCGTTGCATCCAACCTGGTGGCGTGAACGCAACGGCCATAGACGGTGAGTGCGCAGACGATTGCCCGGATTGGGTTGTGCCGTTCATCATAACTATCTGTGCCGCGATGTTCTTCAGTAGCTCTCTCGGCAAAACGGGCTTGGCACTTATAACATTGAGGTGAGTGCAATAGTGTTATAGCATAACTGTTATTGTTGAAGAGCGCCATCTCATGGTGTTAAATAAAAGACGCCGTAGAGGGCCGTGTACAGGTGGTCGCCATGTGAATTGGCTATTTCTTGTGCTCCTCTAACAATGCCACAGTAAGAATATAGTTTCGGCCCAAGACTGGATTTAGATTTTGTTCCTCTGTGATGCAACTAGTCCTGATCTCTAACAAGTTTGCCATGCCACCGCAACAGTGGAGGGCGCTATCACCAATGAAAATCAATGATGGATTCAACATTTCAGTTATTACTGTGTTTGCCTTATGAACGATGGTGAATGGTTTCGATCCCTGCCAGGAACATGGTGCTTTTGCCCTTGGGAAAGACACTTCACTACGATTGCCTCTCTTCACCCAGAAGTGTAAAATGGGTACCTGAGAGGGTAGAGTCCGAATGTGCACTGGCATTGGTTGCCGCGTGGTCTCGTGACCTGATGAAAGCGTCATATTTGTAAAGCCCTTTGATATTGTAGATGCATTAGCACAACTATTATTAGTATTATTCGTCTAAATAAACAAGATCGACGATTCTGCAATAATGCTCAGTACGTACTGTAGTGGCGTCCATCACAAGACCTCACAAGACCTGAGAAGTCCCTACAAGTCCATCACATGTATGTACAAGTCTTTACAAGCCCCCACAAGTACCCACACTTCCACACAAGTTTATTACAAGTCACATATATATAAACAGTCCATACAGGTCCTTACAAGTCCGCACAAGTCATGACAATTCCCCACAAATCATTACAAGTTATAAACAATATCGACAAATCTGAAATACAGTTCAGTACTGATGTCCCGTCATCACAAGTCATCATACGTCCTCAGAAAACTGCATAAGTCTTCACAAATGCTCATAAGTCCAACAAAGTTCTGCAAGTCCCCGCAATGTCCCCATATGTCCCCACACGTAAAGTCTTCACAAATCATCAAAAGTCCCACAAGCCCCTACCGACTCCACAAGTCAGTCCACACATGTCCCCATACTTCAGACCCAACAAGTCCCAACAAGTTTCCACAAGTCCCAAAAAGTCCTCAAAGTTATCATAAATCCCAATAATTAAGTCCCAATAATTAAGTCCCTCACAAGTCATCCCGTCTCGAGATAATCAATTGAAGATATTCGAATGAGCACTTTAATTCGACAAACTTTGACAAAGGTGCTCATTTGCTATTTTCAACCCTGTTACGGACTTTACTTAAGAAATGACTTGCGGATTTACTTTTAACCGGACTTGTTATGTAGTTATTATGGACGTGATTCCTTACAATATTTAATACTGGAATTAAGGTTGTCATTTTAACCCGCACAGAATTGTCGATGATGATATGCGAGCAACGGCTCTCGGTTTCCAGACACTTGTTCTGAATCTCTTGGGTAAATATCATCATTGCTTTGGTGAATTTAGAGGATCACATGGTTTATGAAACTTATTCCCGTGTAAAGTCTTAGTCAAATGTATTTAAATAAATGATCAATATAAATAAAAGTGCCACCAACGTTTGCTTCACACCTCCCACATTCCTTCCTCATAGTCGTCACTCTGCAAATTGTAAAAGATGCTGTAGTTATTCACGTGTCCATCGCTTACCTGCAGAATCCAACCTCGTTCCCATTGTGTCAAACCGTAGACGCTCTCCCAACTACACGCTCTCTCAACCTGATGTGGGAACATTTACAAGTTCTTACACACGTGTGTAGATCTTGAAGATCTTTTTTGTTAGGTAGAATTGACCTAATTATTCACATTGAAGGTTAAAATAAGTAATACACGATGGATCATCAAGTTCACGATAAAAATCCATCACTTGGATCAGGATACAGGAAAACTAGTTTCCAACACAAGATTACTATTGGAACGAGGCTTAAAATGTTTAACTCATGCATGGGGACGAGGTTGTTTGCGTTGTAGGTGAAAAACAGCCCATATATGCCTTACAGTCAGGGAACACGCTTAAACGCTGAATAGCTCAATGGTATAGCAACAGAACGATAATCCGGAAGTCGCAGGTTCTAACCCCGCTCCAGTTTAATTCTTTGTTCAACTTCCAAATATTGTTAATATTCTCATGGTCAGTTTCCCTTTGTAGTTCATTCGAAGAAACCAAAACAGTTTGTATTACACGTATACATGTCTACAACTCTTTATCTAGTTCGAGGACAAAATACCTGTAAAATCGGTCAATGCTAAGGAATGCCGACTGACTCTGTGCTGTAAACCTTTTTTTTTTGATGGCGCACTGCATTGTGATTTGTATGAAAATCTCCAACACAATATTGTAGAGGGCGCTCTCATGGATTGACATACCTTTTAGCACACCTTTTGAAACCTTTGCCTAGATACATTGACACTCATATGCCACCTTTGTCGTCCACGAGTAAAGGTAATGTTTATTTTATCCTATGCACCACTATGCCGCCAAAACTGTCGATGATGTACACGGCCATTTGGCGCCTTGAAATGAAATCGGGAATATAAGATAGGCATTATCAAGATAGTCAGAGTTGTAACGAGTCACTAATTTTGTGACTCGAGTCGAGTCGAGTCATTTTAAAGAAGTGACTCGAGTCGAGTCGAGTCATTAGGTCAACAAGGTCGAGTCGAGTCGAGTCGAGTCACAGAGTGTGGTCGAGTCGAGTCGAGTCGAGTCAAGTATTTAGCTCGAGTCAATTGAGTTAATATTTGAACACTTAATTACAATAAAAATCAACAAACACAAGAGAGAAAGAATACAAGGCACCAGTCTATTACGGAAATCTAAAGACATAAAGTATGCTGTATGGTACCCAACCAACAGTTTCCATTGCTAGCTCACGTCACAGATAAGAAGATGTGAAACTTCGGTCTTATAACTGGTTTGGCTTCGGGTCTAGATTTTGTTGTTCGCTGATCGCTGACAACGTTAAAACCTAATTGCATTATACAAAACTGTTTCTGATTATTTAAAGGTGGGTTCGTCCGTATTCATTTTTGTGTGTGAAATCGGGACATGAATTTAGCCAGCGTTCCACCAAGAAATTCAAAATCGCCCGAAACCAATGATGAAACCACGGATGGAGAAATGCGTTTTAAGTCTGGTTCCGGGTTTAGCATTACATGCTATAGAACCACAAGGTGGGAGTCCGCGACACGGTGTATGTTTGTTGTTTCATTATGGAAAGGAAACAGACTGCCGCTGTATATAAACGTACATTATTCGCGAACATTAACGTGACGTGAACAAAAACTGGCAACGCGAACGGCGCAGCGTAAGTCATTGCAAATATTTTTCGCAAGTAAGTTTTGCTTTTATTTGGGACTCGAGTCTTATTAGCTTCCTCGAGTCGAGTCGAGTCATTCTGATGAGGGACTCGAGTCGAGTCGAGTCATTTGCTCGCAGTGACTCGAGTCGAGTCGAGTCATTTACCCGTCGGGACTCGAGTCGAGTCGAGTCGCCAAAAAATGTGACTCGAGTCGGACTCGAGTCGAGTAATTGACTCGAGTCATTACAACTCTGAGATAGTCATTATCAACCAACAATCGCGTCTATTGAGGATGGGAATCATCGAATTTGTCATGTTCACCCCCAAGCTATCGAGGACATTCAAAATGTAAACTTGACACTCGCACTGAAACAGAATCCAACTGTCAGTAAAATGTAAACTTCTTTAATTAGAGGAGTCTAACATTCATTTCTCGTTTTCTTGCACATTTGTCTTCTTGCTCACTTGTTTTCTTGCAAAAAAACTAAATAATAATCAGGGGGAAAAACTCACATCAAGTCGGCTCAATGCACACTTATGCGTAGGAGCCCATTCCCCACAAACATTGCTTCACCTCTTATTCCAAATGTTTTTATTTCTGCTATCATTTTATTAAGATTGTCGTTGTCATTAATATTTTGGTACTGTTGAAATAGACTGCAACTGAATTGAAATATCATCTTCAAACGGCAGTAAAACCTCTTCTATGAGCTCCCATGATACATTGTGTGCTTTCGTCAATAGATTCTTTAAAACAGATAAGTGATCACCAGTGCCATTTTTTTTTTTTTTTTTGGTTATCTAGTGACTTTGCATTAACTATATCTTAATTCGCTTTTATCAGGATATTCCCAGCACCCTTGTACTTTGGCGCGGCAATCAACCTGGCTTGTATCCTATGGGGGTACAACAACGGTGATAGGGGCGCGTGTTGGTTCTACGATATCGACCTGTTCAGATACTCCTTCCAGGGTTTGATCGGGGGCATCAGGGTGATATCGGTATTGGTGCTCTTCGGAGTTTTCTACACCCTCCGCAATGTGAAGGTGAGTTGCTACCCAAGACGTTTTGGTTGTTGTCTATTCTGTTTTATATTTCCTCTGCCAGGGAGGTTGTGTTTTCATCGGCGTTTGTCTGTTTGTCGGTTGGATGGTTGGTTTGTCGATTAGCAAGATAACTCAAAAAGGATATTGACGGACTTACATGTAATTTTAGGGGTGGTCCTCCGTAAAAGTACAAATCGATTACATTTTGGAAGTGATCAGGATCTAGGTCTGGATCAAGGATTCTTTTAAAGGATTCGTGAACCATGCAAGTTTTTCTTGTGGGTGTACTGACAAGATTGCGGGGTATTGTTTAGCCTTTGCGAAGCTTTGCGCTCTTTTGGGTGCTTTCTAGTTTGTTTTTCTTTGTCGTGTAGTTGGGTTGTTTGTTTGTATTTTTGTTTGTTTTTGTCAATTTAACAAAATAATAACTCTGTGGTTACTTCATTACCTTTTTCAGGAGAAAGACCGCAAGGAAGAGCAGTTGAAGAAAACTGAAACTGAATAGGGGGAGGAGTTGCCCTTTTTGTCAGTGACTGCCTGAACTTCATCAAAAGAGACGATCTCATGTCCTCTTGTGAGGACTTTGAATGTGTGTTTATTGAGATCCAGCGTGATGGTGCTTGTAATCTTGTCATTGGTACTGTTTACAGAGCTCCTGGCACATCCACAGACATTGTTTTCCTTTCATTTGATATTTGCCTCAACAAGATCACGAATGAAAAGAAGCTGTGTTATATAATGGGTGACTTTAATTTTGACTTGACTAATTATTCCACTCATCAGCCTACAGAGGATTTTGTGAATACTCTTTATGCTTACGGTCTTCGTCCATTGATAGATAAACCCACTCGTATCACACCCCACAGCTCCACTCTTATCGACAATATCCTTACTAACAATAACACCAATATTTCTGCTTCAGGTATACTTTATGCTGATATCTCTGATCACCTTCCCCTTTTCCAGATTACTTCTGACTGTTTCCAAGGCCATCATCCTTCCCCAAGTACTTACGTCGTAAGGGACATCTGTAGCGCTTCACTCTCGGCTTTTAAAGCTGACATTGAGCACACAGACTGGAGTGAAGTCTACGATTGCACCAATGCGGAGACCGCATATGACGCCTTTCTCAATAGATTTACTGTTCTATACAATCATCATTTCCCACTTGTAACAAAAGTTGTTGGTAAAAGCAAGAAGAATCAGCCATGGATGTCCCGGGGAATACTGAAGTCCTGTAAATTTAAACACAAGCTGTATAACGCTTCTTGCGTAATCCTACAATGGCAAACGAACAGAGATACAAAAGGTAACGTAATCGTCTCACTCAAGTTATTAGAATGGCAAAGAAAAAACACTACGCCAGCAGGTTCGCCAATGCAAAGAAAGATATCAAAAGCACATGGCGTGAGATCAATAATATCTTGGGCAAGAAAAAGAAGGATGATCTTCCTGATAATTTCCTCAATGATAATCAGTCTATTTCTAATCCTTCCACTATTGCTGACACCTTCAATTCTTACTTTTCTTGTATCGGATCAACGCTGGCTAGCAGGATTCCTTCCACCGATGCTCACTTCACAGATTATCTGCATGATAGAAATACCTCTTCTTTTTTTCTTTCTCCCACCGATCCTTCTGAAATCTCACAAGTTGTTCATGAACTTAAAATACCAGTTGTAGGTTTGATGATATCCATTCATCAGTAGTTAAATCCTGCATTCCCTTCATCTCTCATCCTCTTGCGCACATTTTCAACCTGTCTATCCTTACTAGTGTCGTTCCTTCTAATCTAAAGATAGCGAAGGTAACTCCTGTTTTTAAAACCTTTGACCGCCGTGACTTTTCTAATTATCAGCCTATCTCCGTCCTTCCATGCTTCTCAAAAATACTTGAAAAGCTGATCTATAAGCGACTTTCTAACTTTTCTCCAAACACCAGCTTCTTTATGATCATCAATTCGGCTTTCGGAACAAGTATTCCACAGATATGGCGCTTATCCATCTTGTTGATTACCTCTCTAGCTCTCTCTCTGATAAACTACACTGTTGGTTTATTCATTGATCTTTCTAAGGCTTTCGATACGATTGACCAATCCATTCTCCTATCAAAGCTTGAGTATTACGGAGTTAGAGGCGTCGCTCTTCAGTGTTTGTTGATTACCTATCAAATAGGAGACAGTATACTACAGTAAAAACTGCGATTCTTCTCCCATGACAATCCACTATGGCGTGCCACAAGGCTCTATCATTGGCCCTTTGCTGTTTCTTCTATACGTTAATAATCTTCACTGTAGTTCTCCTCTCTTGTCTTTTATCCTTATTGCCGATGACACTACTATTCTCTTCTCACATTCAAACTTTGCTTCTCTGATCAACATCTTGAATTTCGAGCTTGTTAAACTTCATCTTGGTTCCAAGCGAACAAGCTCTCCCTTAATTCCTCTAAGACTAAGTATATGATCTTCAGTAGGTCATCCAACTCCAGTCAACATGAAGCTGTGAAGATAGATGGTACTGCCATCTGTAAAGTTCATTCCACAAAATTCCTTGGTGTCATTATCGATGATAAACTCTCCTGGTCTCATCACATAGCCTCCGTCTCTAATGTTATAAGCCGCAACACAGGTGTACCCTCCAAGCTCCGCTCGTTTTTACCTTCCACCACTTGATTCACGCTATATAACACACTGATCCCTCCCTATCTGAACTACTGTAACATCGTTTGGGCACGCACATCAACAAATAAAACACCATTCTTTAATCAAAGTCCAGAACAGAGCAATTCGCATATGCACCCTGTCTCTCCCCCGTGACCACACCGCACCTCTGTTCGCCAAATTACTCACACTAACACTCATCGATATTAATAAACCTCAAACAGGTATCCTAATGTATAAATTTACCAATAATCTCCTGCCCTTCACATTCTCATCGTACTTTACCTCTGTTAATAATATTCACAAATATCACACCAGATCTCACAAAAACCTGTATGTACCATTCACTCGCACTTCCTACTCGATGAATACTCTACGCTTCTATGGACCACGTCTCTGGAATGGACTTGACCCACTTATCAAATCTCAATCCTCTGTAGGCAGATTTAAAAATCATTATAAGACGCATCTGCTCGCCCATTATATTACATAGCTTCTCCGCTTCTTCGTTTCTCTCAGTTTAATTTGCTTGCTTTTTACCTCTTGCTTTGCTTTTTATTTATCTTGTCATCTCTGCCGCTGCTCCTCTATTGTTCTATACGCTTCCGTTATTATTATTGCACTTTTATATGTAATGTTTATCACATTTGTTTGTCCTTTTCTCTAATTGTTTGTTTTGCTTATTTTTTTATTCTAAACGTTCGTCTATCGTGTGAGATGTTATGTATGTGTACAGGCATGTTATATGTTATAAGCTTCGGCTTTTTTTAGCATGCCTCCATCAGTATAATTTTTCATTATTTTGTATTATAATCAAATGTTGTGAAAGATGGAAATAAATGTTCTTGAAATTGAAATTGAATAAAGTGAACAGCTGGTCCTGCACCAAACAACACGAAGAAGAGATAAGCTAGAGCGTAATAAGACATAAATAGGTCAAAGACAGGTCAAGTAATCCTCATGGTTTTAATATTGAATTAATGTACCGTAAATGTTAATAAAAACGTTTAAAAAATCAAAGGTTGGGGTTAAACGTAAGTAAACCCTGGATAAATACTGAACATTTGACAACGTTCGTTTAATATTAGAACCACAAAATTAAGTGAGGCTTAAGATTTGCATTTTGAAATCTGCCTGTAAGTACTAATGCGGTGACAGCATTGATCACATTTTGAACGACCCTTTTCTCCAAAAGTGTCAATATGATTTGTTATTAACTTGTACACCGATATCCTCTTTGAATCATATTCTGCACATTCGTCATTTGTTCAGTCAAAACACTGACTGCGTTCTTTAATTTTCAAGACCGATTGAAAAGCGTACGCAGATATTTTCATATTTGTTTCAATACATGGCCATCCAACGTCAATTTTAACAGTAATAACTACTTATAAAGCGCCTTCCCTTTGAATTTAAAAAGACACAAAGCGCTGTACATTGAAAGCCACTTCTTCAAGCTAAAACATTAATAGTAAGACAAAACGTTGTAGGGCTAATCGATAAAAAATTATGGGCACTAAATGAAGTCTCATGATTTTTGGTTCATCATCCTCACTTTGTGTCATTTTTGTAGAGTGATTTTAAGCTGTTGCCTACTGACACTAAAATCCAGTCAAGTTTGAAAGTGTTTCCTTTTTTCCCAGTCAAACACGACTATACAGTGTGTGTAAAAAATGCGAACAAAATATAACGGACAGTCAGACAGAGAATGTGTAACTAATACGGAGATAATAGGTATGGTTTGAAAGATACGCCTTTCCAATTTAGAATAAAACATCAACCACGCTTTTAAAACGGCCGATTTGTCATGTGTTATTATTACAAGAACAAATTTCAGGTTCAACATTTTGACCCCCCCCCTCACAAAAAAAACGAGCTGTTTGGTGCTAGTCGTGCATTCTGCCACACATGTTCCACCACTGCATGATGCAGACGTGCGGAAAACAACGTGTGTAATGGTGTTGTTGGGTGTAAATGTTTACACAGCACATGTCGTCGTGTACCGTATATTGAGTCGTCTGACAGAAGCTGGTGCTAATTCCAAGAAAGGGGAATTTACGGATTGAAAAACGTTTGCATCTGCCACAAAATGTTTCCTGCTTAAGAAAAACATCGTTGTTTTATGTGTTTTTCCCACGAACAATGCGTCATTTCACCTACGAGTTAATTTGAAATAGGATACATGAACAATCTAAAACAAATAAAAAATAAGCAATTTTAGGACGATGGTCACCTTAATGAACTACTGCACAAGACAAAGAATGCAATATTTGAGGTTTTGTTTGGTAGTTAGTTACTATAAAGCCACTTTATTATGATATTGATTTGTTTGATTGTTCATTCATAAATAACTAAGAAAGTTTACTCATTCATATTGGTCGACAGCCCGTCACGAGGCCGGTCTTAAACGGATGATACAACATCGGCTTGCTGGTCTTAAAAACTTTTCTGGTGTCACATCAAATGTTGACTCCTATAAAGTTTGGTACCTTTTACCCGTTTATTGGTTAAATATTCACAATCTTCTTTAAGGCCTAGGCCTACGCCCAAATTACCAATGAGTCCGTATTTCGATAGCCCTATTATCAAGTACTCTGGCACCGCCGCGTTCTGAGCCACATCGCGCTTTACGCGCCCGTGCGCCAATCTCCTTATAATGAGTTGTTTACGATAACTAGAGGAATTTAAAAAAAAAACTGAAGTAAAATTGTTAAACAAAATCGTTGGAAATTAATAATGTTGACTTGGTTTGACCTTTGTACAGAAAAGTTTTGACTTTTTGAGAATAAACATGTGCTTAGCCGGTATTAACAATAGTTTAAGACTGTTTGGAGTGTTCATGCTGATAATTACCCTCGGCTTCGGCTCGGTCAGTATCAGCATCTAGACTCCAAACTGGTCTTAAAACAAGTCTTTAAACGGCCAAGCACACATTTATTCCCATTATGACATGCGTCATTAAATACATATCAATTACACATTCGAATATAAAACATCAAAAAAGGAAATTGTGTACAAGCATGCATTATTATACATAGGATAATAAGGTTCCGTAACTAAAATGTGTTAAAGACTCGTTTACATCACAAAATAGAGTCGATCAAATAAGAATCTGCTAGTCTTCCCATATTTAGACCACTGCATAAACTATGATATTGTGGCGAATCTCGACTTCCTCGAGTGTTTGACTGTCTCGAGAACCTTCCAGACGAGCGGCAGTCCAGA